AAAAGAATTTAATTTTTTAAATTGGTTTAGATAAACGATAAATCTATTAAGTTGTAGAATATTGCTTATCTTTTTCAAATATACAAATTCTTGGGGAGAATTAGGCAGGAATTTTATTTAAAATAAATTTAGATAAACATGTGAAAGAAAGTGTTGATTTGAACTTTTCATTGCTTTAATCCTGAGAGAACAATGTTTTCATGTTAGGAAAGTGTGTTGAATCACTGTCGCGTCAAACTCTTTGACTGATGAATAATCATACTCAACGGTCGCGTCTAAACGCTAAACATGCAAATACAGGCCACTGTTATTCTCCATATCAGAACGTCAGTGTCGTCACGTAACAGAGCGAATGACGATTCCAGAGTGATGAACAAGCTGAGATTCACATTGAAACGAATCGAATGCGGAACATCCATTTTGCATTTCGCTTCTCTTTCTCTCTTTATATTCATATTCTAGCCAGACTAAAAGCGCCGATTTGTGTAGATTTACTTATAACATCACTATATCCTAAGACGCAAAGTTAGCCCGATGAGTGGAAAGAGTGTCGTTTTAAAGCAGTGTTAGATGTCGCGGTTACGCGCAATTTACGTAGAATATCTAAGCATATAATTACATTTTGCATATAATTTAAATAAATACAGTTATTACTGGAATCAGCTATTACTTTACTATCGTTCTATTCTGTCTTGAATCGTTAAGAAGGCAAAGTTGATATGAATAAATAAGAAAAGACAGACAAAAAACTTAAGCTGTCATTTCATATTTAAATGTCATGGACGATCGACTTATTTTGTTTTCGTAATAAAGTTTTCATTTTATAAATTATTTAACATTTCAATGATGTTATCTCATAACTACATACCTAATATTTGCGATCTTACACTCAGTAACGATCGTTAAAATTCGGTTTTTGAGCCTGCGAGTCGTTACTTCAGAGAAATATTATGACGAATTTATAGTGAATGAATGAATAACATTAGGAGACAATCTGTTTATTTTAGACCATCCTTCCTTTTCAAAATTTGTAGATACGTCTGTCCTATTAAAAATCCAGGAAATGCAAGGAAACGTAGTTGGAACAAATGAGATAGTCGAGTAATTGTCGCTTGGTTTCTAAAATTCTGTTCTAAAATAACGAAAACCAACGGCGAAGAAATAGAGAGTTTCTAAATAAATATACTTAAGAGATAAGAAGAGTCAACGAAAGAGAGAGAGAGAGCGAGCGGAAAAAGCAAACGCGATGCACTTTGTCGCTGGATAAATGGATACCTATGAGATTAAAGATTAGAAAAGATGAAAAGAAAAAGACACTAGAGCGGTAGGATGTGCTTCGTCGCAGGTACTACGCCCTTCGTAACCCGGCCGTAGTAGAATCGCTCGACACGACCGGCGCGGTGCAAGTTTGCCCTCGCAGCTGCGCCCTATCCCTGCACTGCTCGCATTAGAAAGCGAAACTAGACGAAACGGCGAACATGCACACGCCGAGAAAAGGGGAAGAGAGCAAGGAGAGCGTGAGAGGAAGTGCAGCTACGAGGAAACAACGACCTCGCCGCAGTTGTTGGAAGCTTCCGGAGTCTCGGCCCGGAGCTCGAATAAACATTATTATTACCTCTTGCCTGGAGATCGCTCGCGTAGCGGGATAGCAACAGGCGCGCGCGTATCGGCGCGGGCATAATGATCGGCTCGATTAGGCGAGATGAGACGAGGCGGAGGCCGAGCGTCGATCTCTCTCTCAGCACGACGACGAGGAATCGGCGCTCACGACTATAGAAACGGGCGGCTGGTTAACGGGATGCCGCGAGCATCGCGCACACCGTATATATGTGCGGTGTATACACTCCCACGATGATGGTAGACGACGCAAATGCGTCGTTCGTCGCGAGGCTGATCGCACGAGATGTCCGAGCCTCAACGGCTCCGGTGGATAAATCGAACGTCGTCACAGTCGCGGCGAACGGGGTTGACACGGCAACGGATACGCTCGATGAGTTTGTACAGGCCGTTGTTGCAGGCCGCAACGGCCCTGGCAGCGGTGCCAATAGTCAGGTACTATGCACAGGTTTGCTCGTCACTAGCGCATACTTTGGCCGCCACGACGTCAGCGACGCTATTGGCACGAAGTGTAACTAAGCGTGCTATCTCTCCCCGACGGTAAATAAACATTGTAAGCACAGATAGAAACCTGAGAGCGGCCACGCCATACATTTTGGCCGACACCGATTTTCACACTGTTCGATGCGCCATCTGTACCCATTTGAGGGAACTACGTTCCCTACGGCCATTTTCAGACGCTGCCGGTAAAAGTGTCGATTTGTTGTGTGTCCATTCTACGCCTATTTTCTGACGATTCGTGTCTGTGCTAAGCGCATAATTGCATGATTGAAAACATGGAGTGCTTTCCAATTGCTTAACACATCTTGACACACACGTATACAAAAGTTTATTGGTCATATATTATCTAAAATATGTTGTAAGATAATATGCAACCAATAAACTGATTTTGTGTAACACAGTTTAACGTAGCTGGAAAGCATCCAAAATAATTTTGATATCAAAGTCATGAAATTGTCATAAAAATGCTTCATTTAACGTCAAGATGATATCACTTTTATATGATTTGATATCACTTTGACTTTTATATGACTGTGTTCTACCTGGGAATGTTTATTACTTAGTTTACATTAAAGCGGGGTCTGCAATAGAAATCATAAGTTGTAGAGTCATAAGTTGTAGAAATTGACCAATTGCGGTCGATTATTCTTTCTATACTCGATCGCGATTGATCAATTTCCACGACTACGGCAAGCGGGTACGTTCCGATGTTTCAATTTACGCTTTGTAAGCGCTTCACTTACATTTCCGTCACTCTTCGTTTATACTTAATTTACTCTCCAATTTCAATTTTCGCCAGAGTGTGGATCTCTCTTTGAACGATCGTTCACGTAATTCCAATATGATAATCATGATTAATGTGATGAACAATCTGCAACGACATCGTTTGTTTTGACACGGCTTATTATGACTATTTTAAATAATTTATGAATTTTGTATTACGCGTTTCTTACTAAATAGGTGATGCTCGTTTCTATCAATTTTTATTAATTTAACTGATTGGTTATTTCAATCAAATTAATTAATTGCATTTCTCATTAGTCAGAATTGATAAATGTGATTGGTCAATTGGTTGGAATAACCAGCCGGTTAAGTTAACCAAAGTTGGTAGAAACGGGCATCACTATGATTGGATGGTTCATTCAACACTTCTATCGATTGTACTTCGTGAATCTTAATCACTACAATGTTTATGGCAATTGGATCATGGCACGGCATTTCGTACTCACGAAGTCGTTCTGTGTTTCTCGCGATTTTGACTCGCGGAAAACACATCTCGTGCGCAAGTTGTGATTGCCAGGAGTGCCGAAAGTAAGCTTCATCTGTTTGTCATGAAAAGATATCGTTAAATAATTGTGAAAAGTATACATTTTGCGATCGGAACGTACGAGCAAGGTATTGCACACATGTTTCGTCCTGACTACAGTTCGAGATTCAAATCTTTACGCCTGCAGTCGATTTGAGCACAATTTTGCGCATGTAATATTGTCGGGAGTACCGAAAGTAAGTTTCATGCGTTCGTTATAGCACGATATCGTCGAGAAGCCGTCGACAATGAGTATCTCGCGTAACGATCGTCGGGAGTGCAGAGTGAAGTATCGCGCGTATTCATATTTCGAGAATCGCAACTGGCGCCAATTCACAGTTAATGAAAGGAAGTATCATGGCGCGGCATCTCAGACTCATGAAGCCGTTTCGCATTTCTCGCGACTTGCTGATGACGTGGATTATCACATGGAAAATATGTGTCTCGCGGAACCGGCCAACGGGAGTGTCGAGCAAAGTATCGCGCGTCCGTTTTTGTTACAACGACACGAAATTCAAATCGTTATCCTTCGTGTTTTCAGTCGGCTAAGGAACAATGTCGCGCGCACTATATTGCCGACTGCTTTGTGCGCGTTGTCGTAAGTGAATATCTCGCGGAATGATTTATCGGAAGTGCCGACTAAAACATGTCGCGCGTTCGTCTCGTTCTGGAAGTTTGGAGTTCAAATCGAGATTGTTTGCCTTGGATTCGCCGAGTGCATAGAAAATTCGGTGAGTACACTTAAATTAAAGATCAATTTCTTTAAAATGTAAAAGAAAGGGTCTATTGCATGAAACATACTTGATACTTGACATACTATGAAAGATACTTGTATTAATATGTGTTATTTGAAACTCGAGATTTCACATGAGATGCTCAGATTTGAGTTTAGATTTGAATGTAAATTTTTTCAATTTAATTGTAATTGCAAATATGTCATATGTATTGTATGATTTAACTGAAAAAACTTTTATCTCTTATGTCTAAATTCAAATCTGAGTATCTCATGTGAGACAAGTTTTAAGTAACTACTATTAATATGATAAGTCAAAGTTACGCTCTTTTATGCTGTATAATTTAAAATAAACATTAAAATTCCTGTTTAGAAATTAATTAATCGTTTTAATTGCTTTTATATATACTTGTACTGTAGTTTTGTTTATTTCTTGTTTACTTATTTAACATAAATATGAGTTTTTTAAATGTTTTGAATATGCAACAATGATAAAACAAATCTAGTGTACTTAAGAACTTTTTATATTTATTTGTTAAATATCCAATTTATCAGTTAAAATCCAAAGATAAAGAGATTAACATTGATTCTTGAAAATTAATAGTTGCTCCTTAAAAGTATTATTTTAGAATTTTATATACAGTTACTTTATATTTGCAGTAACTTTTGGACAAATAATTCCCAGCAAACACAATGTTACATGTAACATGCCTATTAGTTGGAATTTCTTACTCAATAATGTAGCTGTTATATAATATATGTTATACAATGTAACATGATGTTGAGTAGAAAATTGCAGAAATTGCAACTAATAGGTATGTTATACATAACATTGTGATTGCTGGGTTCGTTATGAAATACATAGGATACATTAATATTTATCACCACTTGATGAATTACTAAAACAATATATAAAGGTCGAAATATTTAATGCTATTATTGGACAGAATTAGGATAAATAAGTACATTTCTGATAAGGATACACTATATTAATAAATACTGTTCGGAAGATGATTACCTGAGTTTGTATAATTAATTGTACATAGCGGTATATCTACTGAAAAAAAATAGTTAATACAACAATCGTAATTTCGCTATTCTGAATAGTAAATAACATTAAAAAATTAAATAATATTAAAATTCATTGAGAGAAAAATACTGTTGCTTCATGAATCATTAACGCGATCCAATTGAATGAACTAATCCTAAAATTCGCCAGACCCATAATGAATTCGTTGTGACAAGTAAAATACTTAGATTATATATATATAGTAAAAATTATATTTAATACAGTTTAAGTGCATGATACATGCAGACAATATGTCCCAATTATGCATCATTTTTTTTTTAAATACACACGAATATAAATATTCTATATTAAACGCACGACTTAAAAATAATTTATTTTTAAAATTATTTAAAAGACCGAGCATTTTGGTATCCGATGGTTTTAACATATTAAACATATCGTTTGAATTTTGGACATTTTGCATGTATATTCGCGGTATATTCGTTAATGTTATGTTAAAACTTCGTTAAAACTGCGAAAAAACAAGTGCTGATAAAAAACGAGTGTTAAGTAATCTCGTTCAATACATCTAATTAGATAAAAATTTTTTAAATTTAGTTATGGTAACATTGGTGCAGCTGCATATCATATCAATATCATAACAAAGCATTAGAAATGCGTCCTTGCAAATTCTTCACGTGTTTGAAGACTGATAATTAACGCGAAATTAATTACTTGTTGTTCAATGCGTATTACGTAACCATTGTCTTGAAAATCGCTAGCATAATTAAACAAAATACGTAAGCCAGCGGTAAAGAAAGATCGCAATCAGCATTTGCTTTAATGACACATAGTTAATGCGACATTGGGATGTCATTTTGACAGGCGCAATTGTGTAATGTTACGTATGTGACAGCGGACATAATGTATTCGCGAACTGAATATGCATTTGTAAGAAAAATATACTTATATGTATATAAATTATTTATATAAAATATGCTGACATATTTCTCGTGTAAAAGTATGCATTTTTAGAAATATATTAGTATATATATAATATATACTAATAAATATATTAGTATATATATAATATATACTAATATATATATATATTTTTTAATATATATTTAAAGAAGTCATATAAATGCATATTCAAAATCATTTGATCATTAGAGATGCCTATTTCCGACAACTAGCAACAAGATTCTGCTTTTTATTTGTATTGAATATGCATTTGTAAGAAAAAATATAGATATATGTATATATATATATGTTTATAAATTTTTAAAATTATTTATATAAATAGTTAACATGTGTAAAAATGTGCATTTTTGTATAAATATATTAGTATATATATAATATATACTAATATACATTTTTAACATATGTTAAAATGCATATTCAAAACTATTGACCACCATATGTTCATTAAACCTATTTTAGACAATTTGCAACAGAACTCTTATTAGTATAACTTCTTATTTGTATATATTTATATACATATAAGATTTGAAAAATCAGAATATTATATCTGCAGATTTGTGTGTATATGCGTATAAATATTTAAATGTGTTCCGTATTTTGCACAATACATAAAATTAGAAATAAAACTTTACTATTTTATGGAATTTTATGTTGTCTAAAATCGGTGTTACCCGTGAATATATTTTGCCTAATATTGGTATATGTACAAATCAAATTTCAGCAAACTCTAAGATTATAAATTCTTAGAGATACGTTTGCTTAATTCACGACTATTCATGATCTGATAAGTTACGATTGCTATCTTAAAACTAGCATGTGTCGCAACGCTATTGTACTTCCTTCTGTTAAGTTGCGACATTATTATTAAAATAGCATGAATGTATAAATGATATCTAAAAGGCGAATATTTATCACATTCTCTAAATATCTTTTAGATGCTATTGAATTTTTGCTACTAAGTTGACTAGGCTTCTATTGAGTTGCGAGATATTCATGTCGCCGAAAAAATGCGCGACATGTTGAAGAAAATTGTGCCTGCTAAAATTACAACTATAATTATCGTATTGATCTCGGCTAATCGATCGAACAGTTTCTGTCTTACAATTGTGGATTACTCGTTCACGTTAGCATTAACGATTAACCAACAGTCAATAACGATTATTTAAATTACATATCTAACGTGAGTATTTTTCTTTCTACATCCCTCGTCTTTATTTCCAATATCGTTCCGGCTCTATTATTTTTTTCGAGAATATTAATCGAGTCATTCTGGCTATTGTCTCTTATTCAGTTTTGCCAGTCATTTTAAATAAAAGCCGTGAAAAATTAAATTCAATTTATCTTGGCGACAATTAATTTGTTTATTTTTGTTTTAGTAAAATTATCGCTAAAAATTATTATGAATTATTATTACTCTTCTATATTGTGTGTGACTATTTTAACTTTAAATCTAATTGTTCTGCGTTGTGCCGCAAACTTATTTACTTGCGCAATATTCCTCGTGTATTGCATATATAAACCAGAAGGCCAACGCTAGGAACAGCGATCCACTGAGATCTCCCAATGCTGTTAAATAGGGAATTGCTGAGTTGTCGGGATCCATTTTATATCGCCACATGGCATGGATCATTACATGCGCGATATACAGCAGGAACATCACCTGATACAGAGAGAATTTCGTTATATCTGCTGGCTCTCTCATATTTCTAATAAAAATAGGAACTTATCGAGTCTATTGCATAACTTACTTGTAAGACGGAGACAATCACGTAGGAGACCACGAAGTATGCGTGCAACGTGCAATTGTCTTGATTCACGTAATCAGCGACAAACACGAAGATCAGTTGACCGATAATCGCCATGCCGATGAGCATTCTAGCAGTCTTAGCGGTTGGAACTGTTTATAAAGAAGTAACATTTATTGAATGGTTGCATAGTAAATTCCTATATTGAAATCGTATTATTCAGAACAATGAATCTGTTTGCTTAATTATAGATGAGAAAAATACAGGAATATAGAAAGAAACTATGCATAAAGGATATTCACAATTATCTATGAAAAAATATTTGTTGGCAATAACAGTGTTAATATGAATGAACTTTTCTGAATTTGATTCTAATTTAAATGTATTACGTACATCCTTTGAAAAGTGCTTTCCATGGTGCTATAAATATTTTGGCATATGGTGGCAGAATTCCCATAACAGAAGACTGATGTAGCATTGTAGAAGTACGAGATGCTTGGACTGACACGAGATTGCCACCAATACCGTTAATGATTGGTTGGAAAATTGCAAATCCTTGATATATATTGACAACACGATCAAGAATTAATCCGCCAAAGCTAAAAATTAGAGAATGATATAATTATATAAATAAAACATTAAGTTTAATGAAATATTAATGAAATACAAAATACTAATTATTAATATAAGTTATGTGTGTGTATATAAATTTTATATTATGTACATATTATAATACAACATGTTATATTATATTGTATTAACATGTATTATAATAAAATATAATTTATATACAAGATGCTTAAAAAAAATGTTAACATGACAGTTATATGAAGAATTTATTCAATCGTAATAAACAGTTCTGTTTCTCTAAAAAAGTTACTTCTATATCCAGACAGCAAGACCTCCAAGGAATATCCTGAGGATGTTCTCATGATATCTTTAGGATGTCCTGTGGAGATCTATTATGTTTCCCAGATAACAAAGTGACATCTAAAGATGTCATTAAAATGACTTATTATAGATGTCTTAATAATATCTTTAGACATCACCTTGCTACCTGGATTAGGATATAAGTGTTTCATGTGTAACCTTTTTTTTAAGCACTCTGTATTAATATAATATAAATTTTTGTATAAATTAAAAATAAAGCTAAATAATAATAGAATAAAAGCTAATACAAGCAAATAATTTGATGGATAAATTTGGTTATACTCTCTGAAATTGTTGAAAAAAATATATGAAACATTGGCAGAATACGAATTTATTGAAATAAATTATTTAAGAGATGGCATATTGAACTAACCCACTGATGAAGAGAGCGGATAATACTGGAACCCAACCAGTCTTCAAAACTTTTCTCGTGTATTCGTTCTTCAACACAATCATAATCCAACATGGTAAGAGTAGGAGGTATAACACGAGGATGACGTATAACACCCATATCTCGGTGTCCAACCTGAGGTAGAGCTGCGACGAGATGCCGGATAAAACACTGATGGACACGACATCACCGAAGGACGCCGCCAAGGGAGTCGCCAAGTTATCCGGATTCAATTTACATCGGTACGATAACATGATGACGGCGATCAAGAGGAAATCTGCGGAGGAAAAACGATTGAATGTTAATGAGAGGGTGGCATGAATTGCATGCATGTAGCAATACGTGATCTCTCAGCGAGACGCTGGAACATTCGCGCATTTGAAGCGAAAAAGTCAATCCGCGTTGACGTAAAAATCCGCAATGCACAAAAAGAAGGAAAATTGTAGATCTTTATATATAGCAAGAAACACACATTAGAACACGCATCTGTAAGTATAATGTGCATCCGAGTTGCAAGCTGCAATAACAAACGTCGCTAATACTAAAGTGCGATCGAGCGGTCGATGATCAAATCACGAACGAATGGAGACGGCGGACAATCTCCTGACAGATGTCGACTCACGGTTGCGAGAGTAAGTGATATTTGTTAATCAGTGTTAATAAAACGGGTGAGAGGTTTACCTAAGATGAAGCAGGAACTGGTCGCCGTGCTAACGCTCGAGGTCGCCAACAGCACCGCATGATTCCAGACGAAAGTGTTGTTGGCGTCTGTAATTGCGCCCACTGTCATAGCGAACAGCGCCACACAGATAGCCGCGACGATCGCCTGGATTTGCACCAGAGCGATGTTACCAATTATCATTTTGACAGTCTCACGAAAGTCGTGCATGTTGCCTAAGTTCGCTTGCGTGCTCAGTCGCGACGCCAAGCACATATCGAGATTTCCTTTTAATCCAAGTAGCGCAGGCACTAAGATCAATAGTTGTGAGACTGTCCTGAACACCTCCCAGTTCTGTAATTACACAAATATAAGAGAATTTAAATTTAAATATAAATATAAATATATATAAATTTAAATATAAGAATCGTCGAATTTAAGGGGACTTTAACGTCAATTGTTTTCTTGCTCCTTCCGTTGTCTCGACATCGGTTAGTCCAGATTTGCGATTTGTTTTTTGCTTTCTGTTTCTTTCTCTTTATCTTTTTCTGACTTAAACTTTAATCTTTAGGAAGCTCCATTTCTGCCAATGTCGATTAAATATTAATTCAAGTTTAAACTTTATTCAGACAAAGATTTAAACTCACATTTAAGATTAATCCACGTTGATAAAAACTGGCATAAGCCAGTTAAGAAAAAAATAGAGAACAAAGAGAGCATTGATTTATAAAATTATTTATTTTAGATAGTTTTAGATTAAACTTCATCGTTTAATGTACTTTAGAAATTGGTATGCATATGTTGCGGTAAGATTGTAAAAATGATTCCATGGGTAAAACCTTCGAACATGAACAGATTTTTTTGCTAAAAGTGTTCGAAAGCGACAATATTAGATTCACATACACTGAAGATCTATTGATTAGTTCGACATTGTATGTGAAAATAAGTATGTATATTGGTATGTGTGTGCATGCATGCGTGTGTGTTATGTGTGACTTTGCTTTGTTTCCCACTTTTCGCGTTACCCAGGATCAACAATATGGATATGGTGGATGATTGATCTCTTGTATGTATATGTGCGGTGTGTGTGTTAGCAGGTATAGGAACCCTACGGTTTGTCACATATCGAACTATTCAGCTTAGGTGAACCTAATATTGCCGCTTTCAAACACCTATAGTAAAAAAATTTGTCCATGTTCGAAGATTTACCCATGGAATTTGTGATGTAGAGGTCAAAAACTATAACATATCCAATTTTTAGATGATTTGACTAAAATCACTTTTCCCACATATTTTGTGCGAGATCCTTTATTAAATGTTGACCGGTTGATAAAAGAAGTCGCGATTCAATTGTGGTTCTTCTAGATATACAGTATGCTTTTTACTTGTATTTGTTATCATAATAATGTTTAAAAAACGTCATTACAATAACAGGAATTTGAAGGGCACAATATATTCATTAATATACGCATCATATAGTGAAAGACGTCGAGTTGACTTTTTGTCGTTCTTATGCTCGAACATTTAAATTTATTTTAAAGTAAGATGGTTTAAAAATGTAAGTTTATAATAAAGACTAACTTGAGATTATCTTGTTTTAAATTAATTGTGCTGCTGTTTTGCGATCTTGAGTTAAGCTAAGTGGTCACAAATCTCAAAGATCGTTACTCAAGAATGCGGGAGGCACTTAAAGTGCTTATACAATTGCGCGAGTGTCGCGTCAAGAACGACACCGTATCCTACTTCGCATGATCGATAAAGTGCATAAGACCCGATAAAAAAGACGAAGACTGTCTTAGCACGATAGATCTACGTTCTTTTATCTTCAGACAGTGACAAACAACGCGTCGATAAGGGACAGTCTAAGAAAAAAATGAACAACTTATGTTTCATTCGAATTCTTTCTTTTCCGATTTTATGGCTGCTCCAGGGAGCGTCCTTACCTTCACCGTGTTAAGAATATAGCCGGCGCCAATAGTGCCAACACCGGCGACGAAGAAAGGCACTGAAACTTGTAAAATCGTGTAGCACCACTTTTCTGTCCTGATGTCTTTATTCTCGTTTCCATCCGAACTATTAGAGCCATTTGGATCGGGATCTGTGGAAGTGGAGACCGACGAAGTAATTGTTACAATGGAGCTGCCGCTAGAAAGAGATCCTCCACTTTTGCCGAGATTATCGTCGGACATGCTCTTTTTGTCTTTGTCGTTCTGATCATCGGGGCACTTTAGACCAGCTGTTGACATATCCTTACATGTTATATAAATTCTTAACCAATTAACAGTAGGAAATGAGAGAGAGAGAGAGAAAGAGAGAGACTTAGACAAAATTATAATTATAATTATAATTAAATTAAATTAAATGTGTGGAATTATTAAGAAAGATTCAGGACTCAATCGTGCTGTTTATGTTTTAAAAGTGAAAGAATATAAAATTTTCGTATTAAATGAACTTCGTATTGCGCGATATATTTTTTTTGTCCAGACTGTAATTAATTAACCTTGTACTTGCCCCTGAAATTTGTTTGGTTGAGATTTATATGAGATTTAAAACTTTAAGTGAAACAAGATCGAAAGACTCACTGATTCAGATAATCGGTATTTTAATGGCTCTTGGCGTTTCGACGATCTTGTTATCCGTATGCAAACACATGAAGAATTACATTTCGTCTATAGACGGGTAAACAGCACGATATGGTCACTGAACGCACATCCTCTCCGTGTGACATTATAAACCGGCGTGATTTCACGGCATTCTGAATTCTACGGCTTGTGGCACATTATTATAGAGACAGTATCTTCGTTGTCATTGTATACACCGCGCGACCTTTCGTCGTTATATTCGCGACCGATTCATCATAGCGTGCGACTATTAATCCATTCACCACTTGTCGGTTCAGAATTTCGCGTGTTAAAGAGACACAATGGGCTCGTGGTGTTATCAGATGTCGATTACGTTGCCGAATTTGTTAAGCGCTAAGTGTCTCTACCGACCAGATCATATCTCGCCATATTGCACTCCACCGTCGCATGCTAATCGTGTAAAACTGCGGGAATTTGTATCTCAAATAAATTCGCACGACATCCGTGAAATTTTTACGTGACGCAACACGGACATTCGATTCGTTTGGTAGATGTACAATGTTTCTTGAACACCTTGTCGCTCGCGTGTATTTTCGTTCGAGTCAATAAAGTTAAATCATGAAAAAACCTTTACGCCTATCAGTATTTCAATAACTTTTACTAGGTAGATAAGAGAAGAATGTCAGAAAACACGAAAAAGATGACAATAACGTAAAGGTCATCACGTGTAAGTCGATAAGTTGATAAATGTGTATAAAATTATCAGTTTTATGGCAGAATTTGTAACTCGCAGTTCCTTTATCTTCCGTAATTTATATTTTTATGTTAAGTGTTCCTCGTTACGTTTTATATTATTGGTCAGCCATACACTTTGAATTTCATGCTCGGTGAAGTCTCATAAAGAGTAAAACTTTTCGTAACGTACATACAAGACTCTTTGTTACGCGGAACTCTTTGCGAAAACGCACTTGTGGAATTTAAACCGGCGTGTGTTAATTACTTTAATATGTTTAAATATTAATAAAAATCATAGAGCACGCGCGCGTGCGTTAATTGTCAATATTGCTTACCGACGACTTTCTTCACAACGTCGGGTCCCATATTGATGTTTTTCGCCGGGATATTTAGCTTGTCGATCGTATCTATGCTCTCGATCTTTAACGCATAATTAGTCTGCCCATTCGCCATCATGACGCGAGGCATAGTAAATGCTTCATCTTTTACTTTCCCGGAATTGTCATGTTCCGTTATGTTAATGGGGATTCTGTAGTCGTGCGACCTGAGACCGTTATCGCTCAGCAACACTAACTCAGTAGTCGAGTCCGGAAAAGCGACCATGGCTAAAATCAAACATTTTGATGAGATAGATATTTTTCTTTCGAAATTCTTAAGTAATTGTTGTGTTAGTTAAACGGCATGAATAATGGATACACAACTAAACGAAATGCACATTTAACTGTAAAGTATTTCTGTTACTAAAACTACGGTGAATTCCGCAAAATATATAGATTTTGCTTAAAACGTGCCGTTCAAATTTAACGTATGTACATACCGAATTCGGTGTTGACGTACAATGTTGTAGTATCTAGTACGGGGTCGGAGGATCTTAGGATCGATCTGCGACAAGTTTACATTGCTCCTGCCTATTTTCGCAGGTCTTAACCTATAAAAAGTAAAAATGCAATTGAAATTAGAAACGTAAAAATTGCTGTTTGCCGGTGTTAGATGTGATGAGCCATCAAATTATTAGCAATTTAGATATCTATGACTATACCGTAACAGTTCCTCATTATATAAAATTGCAGTAAACTAGTAGGAACGTCACTAAAAAAAATAACGCGTTATCGTTACTCGTTATTAATTTTAAAGTAATTCGTTACTGTTACTTTTACTAAAAAAGTAACAGTTTGTTATTTTTTCGTTACTTCTTTATAATATTATAATAAATAAAATACGTAATTGATTTTAAAATTAAATTATTATTTTTAAGCTTAAATTATTATTTCTAGTGCAGCCAGTTTATTTTAAAAAGGACAAACCATTTAAAACTGCAATAATCCTGACTCAGAGAACTAATGTTTCTTTATGAACTTGGTTCTATCTTTTTATCTTTTATTATTCCTCATATAAAAATTATTGTTAGTGCAAAGATTTTGCAATTTGACTTTTAAATATTTTTAATAAATTTAATAGTAGATATGCTTAGTGTAATTCTCTGTCCCATGGTTTCTTATAAAAGTGAATTGTACTAAGCATCATCATCATCAAAGTGAATTGTACTAAGCATCATCATCACTACAACCCGTTCTTGGTCTGTACAGATACATTCTTCCACACGTCACGGTCCCTCGCCGAGGGATTCTTGCACCATTTCGAAAGTATAGTTTTGTATGTCAACGTGTTGTGTGTGCTATACTAAGCACATACCTATTATTAAATTTATTAAATTTATTAAAAATTTTTTACAACTACATATTGCAAAATCCGACTTTGTTCTAACAATAATTTTAAATGAGGAATAAGATAAAACCATGTAGTCTTCCAGCGAATATCGATATATTTCTATCTAATCAAGAATATCTAATACATGTTATTTGCGCGCAACTAATATATCATCTATTGAATAGAGATAACTAAAGTGACGATAAAAATAATGATTGAATTCGTTACCATTACAAATAGAAAAAAATTAACGATCGTTATCGAAAAAAAGAAACAGTAACGATAATGGTATTACAGTGTACAACTTTGCTAATTTAACATTGTGTAAAAGAGCAGTATTTATATAAAAGTTACTTCGTTTAAAATTAGAGTTATATTTATGTTACTTATTTAAACTTATTTAAACTTATTTATATGTATAAGTTACTTTATTTAAACTTATTTAATAAAAAAAGAAAGAAGTAAAGAAGGACTGACAATGAGAATGTAAAGATGCAAGGACGAGAGAAATGAGAGACTATGGTTGCAGAAATTGTGAAACCCTGTTACGTAAAACCATTACGTTTATGTACACGTAACGCGATTCTTAGGACGCAGGTGGTGTCCAAGAACTTAAACCAGATCCACGTTTCAGGAGTGGAAACCTGAAAACTCGCGTGCTCATCGCGGAGATCTTACAAATGTACGAAATCGATAGTTTAATATAAACCTAATTGTTCGTCAAGAAGGGGAAAAGAGGAGAGGGGGGAGGGTAGCATCTCGCATAATTCATAACGGACAGCAAGAACGCTCGTCGGATAGAAAATCAATACTGAATAATAGTGAGTAATTTAACTTGCGTCCTTTCGTACAGACGTCGTAAATTGTCTGTAAAAATATTAATCGCAAGCTTATCAGTGTCGCTGTTCTACCTGTTGAGGCTCATAGATATTACAAAAATATTAAGCCTTGAACTAGTAACGTTATTTATTTGCTGTGATAAGAATTAAAATAATACCAATCGGTTAATGACCGATATTCTTCCATCTACTGTAGTATAATCCGAATTGTTTCGGGTAAATATGAACATATATTAATCGAGAGATATACTTAATTTTTCTCAAAAAAAAAGAAGAAAAGGAATCTCCTTTTTATTATTAATAGAGTGTCAAGCTATGTACAAACTGTGTCGTTAATTATTATTGATGATTGAGGGGAAAATTAAGGAAGTCATGATATATCTTCGGTGATTGATAATTACGACCGGTCAAGTCGTTGCTCTGACCAGCTAACGTTCTGAGGTCTCGCATAACGTAATGTGCAGAATCAGCAAGAGTGCCGTGAGGGTGATAGGCAACTCGCTCTCTCGCGCCGCGATTTAATTTGATCGCACGTGTCGTCAGAATTGAATTACGCACGCGCGTGCGAGAAAGGGACGCGCGCGCCTTTTCCACGTTCGAACGCGACCTTTGATTCTGCAATTTGCAAAAATACGGAAAAGATCGACTTAAATCCTGCGAAATATATCAACGGCACTCTCGACGGCGAATTGTCGTGGAAGATTTGAAGGTCGTATACCGGAGTAAATATTAAATAATAAAAAAATGAGAATTAACAATACGACACAGCAATCTGTAAATCTTTACTTTACTTATTGACTAATATATCCGGTTTCATTAATATCGTCAATTAAGTTTTAATGTGAATTTAAACTTTTTTCAAATAAAACTCAGGTGAAAGTTCAATCAATGTTTAAGAATGTTGATGGAATCGGGCCTAAATAAATAGATGATCTTAATGGATGATTAAGTTCGGTAAATATGATGTTAATATGATATAATTAAGGTAATTTGATTTGCAATCTGCACCTAATCATATATTTCAACGATCATTTGTAATCTGCATCTAATCATATATTTCAACGATTACTCTATAAACTGTTGTACGAATATCTTCGTGATACATTATATTATCGTATGTTAAATTATATAATTCTTGTGAATTACATATCCAGACAGATAATACATTTCCACTTTAAACTTCGTTCAAGATAATGTATTAAAAATCGCATTTATTATACGCAATAATCGCTTTAAAGGTACTTTTATTTTTACACAGACAATAAAAATCCGAAATTTCACAAATGTCAAGTTGTTCTTTCAAGTTGCTTCGCAACGTTATAACGACGGCACGACAGATATGTTAACTATTAGTCTAGGTATATTACTGAAAGAGACTTACGTTGATTTGAAAACAAAAAATTAAATGTCGAGAAGACTTTAAACGTCATGTTGCAAATTGCACTTCATTTTATTTTACTACTAGCTTTCAAAATATATTAGTCAATGTATGTTGTACTATTGTACCACGTAATTGTTTATTTATATATATAACATTTTATAAAATTTTGATTTGTTACATGGTTTATAATTCGTTTTATTAAATCTCCAGTTATTTGACATATTTTTTTTATCTGCAAATACGAATAAATGATTCTTTTTTTGTTTTTCCTTATATTAATGAAAAGAAAGTCGGAATGCTACAAATAAAAATTTATAAATGTATATATTTCGTGCGCTCAATAAATCTGCTTGTACTCTCATAGGTTAAGATGTACATCATAATTGTATTTATCGATAGTAATCTTTGATCTATATTTTATCGAGACAATGAAGCTATATCTATATTACTCACAGACAATAAAACTCTCAGAATGCACTAGCTACAGGTAGAAAAAAAAAGAGAAAAGGAGAAAACAGGAAAAGAGAGAAAGAGGAAACAAATATGAAAAGAAGTCTGAAAAGATAAGACAAATAATGCAGATTTTACGATGATACTCACGTAGGTATCTCAGGTTGAATGTACGCCAGCGTGTCGAAGTTCTTCAATAGATTCTGATTGGTGAAAAAATCCGTTATTTATGGTAGCAGTAAGGATCTTGACGTTTTTCTCTGAATCACAGTGAAACTGGATGTGTCTTTTCTTCTGTGCAAGTCATGTATTTTTTTCACATGAGATTTTACGATAAACCACCCGTGCACTATACAAGCAGGCCGTTAAAACTTTAGCGTTATGATAAAAATCACGTGCACTGAAGACAAAGAGAAAGTCGGTGTTTTCCTTGATATTTGGAACGCACGCTCAGTGTCTTGGTTGATCCGCGTACTTCGCGCGGTTCAGCTTGACTGATAAAAGGAAGCCGTAACTCGATTGTCACTACCTCCTCGCTCTTTGCTCGTATACCTGCCTCGACGAGTATGCACGTGCGCTATCTCGTCAAGCCGGTCGAAGGTGGGAGTCGAATCTTAAGGTAAATCACGAATCGCCTTAGCGAGCGTGTTAGAAATTAATGAGACTTCCCTCTGCTCCCGTGAAAGTTTCGATAATTCCTGATCACTGATCGCTTGAACTGAAGAAGACACGACTGACGAACGACACGTCAGGCTAGGAACTAAAAGCTTATGTTGGAATGCAGGTCCTTTATAAGAAACACAGAAGTAGGGTATACTCTATTCCCATTCATCGCTCAAAACCTTCGAAAAATCCTTTCTTTGAAAAATCGATATTTCCTTTAAAAGAACTTGTTTTTTTCTTTGGTTGATTCTAACGAGAATTATTTTTTCAAAATAACTTTGACTGAAGATTACTATTAATTTAATGATATATGACTGTATTTTTACAATAAACATTTATATGCATTTATATTAACATTTTATTAACATTTATATTAACATATTTTTAACTAGAAGTATATTAGAGTTTAATTTTTTGCTGTTTAGTTTAATTTAATGAGTATTAAAAATAAAAAAAATGCCAGCTGATACATATCGTTAATGAACGACAAATATTTATCAGTTATCATGTTGCTTTCCGGCTTATTAAGGGAATATCATAAATAAGTCGCAATTGTTACTTAGTTGCTAGAAGTAGAGAGAATGTTGTAATAAAAATTATAATGCAATTTTAGTGTAGTCCGGGAATAAATTATTACTATTACGAAAATTATAATAAAATATAGTAAAAGTAACCATAAATGTAGTAAAAGTTATCCATGTTTATGATCATTTTTATTATGTTTTATTATAATTTTCATAATAGTGCTAATCTGTTCCCGGACTTTATATATATACTAAAATTGCATTATAATTATATTATAATTTTTACTATAATATTCTCTCCGTATATGCTTTTCTCATTCTTCAATAAGTAATATAAAATGTGATTAGGTTGTGAACATTAAGATATCAGGATACGATCGCGCGCAGACGTTCATTCATTTAATGCAAATTGCTTGTCAGTTTTCATTAAGCTAGCGTTATACGGTGATTATCATATGACTATTATTAAATTCTCTGACATACTGACTGACTATTGGCTGCATTCCAAATTGCATTCAGGAAAATGTATTCAAACCGTTTCAAAAGCATATGCGTATTTTTATGACTTCATTCGTGCGAACGATGACGACACTGAAATATGACGTAAGTTGAACAACTTGCGTCACAAAGTCATTAATATGGTTTTAAGATGCTTGCCTAGAGACGATCATCAGCGCACAGAAGTGAGTCATAAATCGATTAGTACGTATGCACCTTCTCCGATACGCGTATGTGCTTATTCAAACTTTAACTCGCTCGTTAACGAATCGCTTCGTTTTTTCATGCGTATGGCGTATGTGCCATTAGTATTACGTGTGTCATGAATATTACTGATACAATATACGGATGTGTGATCGACATTCCGTGCATGTAAACACATATGGCCTTTACGCCGGGATTCACGTTATTTCGTGACGATCGTTACGCCGGAACGGGGAAATACCGTATCGGCGATGAAACGAGTGTCACTTATTTTCTGTGGGACCTATTGTGAAAATTTTCCACGTTGGCAATTTCGCGTGTGTCACTCTTCGACGATAACGATTGACGGTATCTTCACCGTACGACCATTAATTACACCTGTCGTTTGATGTGCATCAGCAACAATTACATAGCTTAAGCTGAAGCGTCTGGAACGTCTGCGAAAAAAATATACGGTGTGCGCGAAAATATTCCTTCGTAAAATTATACATTATTTATGATTATATTAACGAAAGCAAATTGGTAAAACTCCTGTTTAGGGGACCCCCCTCAGATGACCTTGACCTTGACATATGTTATAGAGGTCACTCTCCTGAGTGACCTTCTGAAAATTTTAGCCGTCGCTCGTTGTTTGTTAAAAAGTCATTAACAAAAAAAGTTGTATGAATGTAACGTAATTTTTCAAGACAGTTCTATAAAATATACACTTTTCCTTTCACTTTTGACAAATTCTCATTCTTTAGTTTAAGTACAACAGACTTGTCCCCCTCCCGCCGCGGTGCGGAGTGTCTGGGGAAAATAGACCCTCAATTACACGGCTAGAGACAGGCATCTTTTAAGGTGCCTGTCCAAAAGTGAAAGGAAAAGTGTATATTTTATAGAACTGTCTTGAGAAATTACGTTACATTCATACACCTTTTTTTGTTAATAACTTTTTAACAAACAACGAACGACGGCTAAAATCTTTAGAAAATCACTCAGGAGGGTGACCTCTATAACATATGTCAAGGTCATCTGAGGGAGGTCCTCTAAATAGGAGCTTTACCCTGAGTTCTCTTTTAACGATAAATGAATCTGTAAAATACTCATAACCAATCAGAAAGTTTATAAGCCACTTTTAGAGGCTCATTTATTGTTAAATACTCAGAATACGGGCTATAGTTACTGATCAAACTAATTATATCTCAGCAACAATATAATTTGTTTAATCAACTAAACGTTTGTTTGAATAAATTTTGTTCGTCTAAGTAAAGTCTTATTAACTCAACTACTTTTTTCTCAGTGTAGTAAACGTAGTAAAGAAAATAAAAATGGATACTTGAGTATTAAAGATTATAAATTTTTATAGCTTTTAATCGTAATGTCAAAAATTTAATCGTAATGTAAAATTTGATCAGTTATCTTTAAAAAGTTTTACTCTGTCAGTCAAAAAGAAATACACATAGATTTTGAAAAAAGTAAATATTATCGTAAACTCTATGACTCGGTAGAAAATTTATCAATTAATATATGTTATTTCTGCAAATTATCCGGATGTTAGATGATTCAATTCTCACTGATAACATAATATAGTAATACACCTTCAAACAGTAATACATCTTCAAACAGTAAACAACTAGTAATCTTCGCAATTTCAAGTAAATTTTTCTAAATAATTGTTATTTTCTTTTAAATGTCACAAAGTGTAGCATATTGATTATTTACATTTCACAAATGTTTGAACGTTAATCTATATTATATACGGAAAAAAGAGATGTGGTGCACCTAACAAAAAATATTTAGTTGTAAGCAAATAGCTGCATCATTCTACATATCTTTGTATGATAGTTATGTATATGGTTGATTTGACTTACTTTAGTGTGTTAACTATATCAATGAAGTTGCGCGTGATTTGGTTGTGGCAACCAGAAATTAGTAAGGGAATTTTGCATAAACAAGCTAAATATCGATATAGTTGCATTAATCAATGCTACATTGTAAAGCAGCGATATTAGAAAACAAAAGCAATTCACTACGCGCACAACTAGAGATGTATATATGTGAAAACTGGTCCTGAGTGTATAAATATACATTTGTAGTTGCCGCGTAATGAGCCGCGTATTAACCGTGTATTATCACTGCTGCAACATAAATAACTCAGCCATTTCTCTTTGGTTATAGCAGCCACATAAATAGTTGTTCCGTATTTTACTATTGAATTGTGTTGGCACAACCAGATTTCTGTATGAATCAACTATTGTTTTTTCCGTGTACCTTTTATATAAGATATATTTTGAATTTAAAAATATGTTTTCTTCAATAATTACTGCTAATTGCACTTCTCGAGGACACGCTCGGCGACAAACACGCGTAATCTAATGCAGCTCGCGGAATCAGGTGTGAACTGATTATCACTGACTGCATCCGACCATTAGATATCGCGGTTATTATCCCTGTAGATGTTTTGTGCAAGCTTATCTACTAGATATCGTGCGCGTACTCGCTCACGCTTATAACGGAATACATCTATTGCTCGTTGCTTGACATTATTTTACGATTAAATATATGAAATTAATGTAAACGTCATCTGGTCATGTGCCATATCTGTGATATTTGCTGGTATTTTAATTATTGATAAACATTAAAAGCACGATAACAATAACAAAAAATTAATATGACATTCTCACATTATCGAAAACATATAAAGTCGACTCGTTATAATTCCCGCATCACGAGATTTTTCAATAATAAAAAAAAAATGCGAATTTTTCATGTCATATTTTGTAGTTCGCTCGCAATAAATGCGTATCTTCTAATGGAATCATCGACATTACATATATTGATTCTAGATTGGTACTGTAATGCATATCGTCTCCCATATCACTTCAGATAGTATGTCTCGAGTTTATGAGACGTAAGTGAAAAATGAAAACGAAGTGATTCGTAGGTTTGAAAACTCACAGTTAGTTATAGTTAGCTGGCGTTATGTTCACTGAGATTATAAAGTCGATTCGAGAGCTTCGAGCAAATAATGATAAATCATCACCTAGGTTAACTGTTTGCCGTGACATTTTTATTCTGACTTTAGAGAGAGAGAGAGAGAGAGAGAGAGAGAGAGAGAGAGAGAGAGAGAGAAAGTGTGTGTGTTATATATTTTCATATTTTATATTTCGAGAAACAGAGATAATTCGCACGACTCACTTTGCAATAAATTTTTTAATGCGTGTGCTACAAGAACACAATTTATGCTATAATAAAACTTAGTTTTTACAGCATTTTTTATAATTTTTATGAGTAGCAATTTAAAATATCATGCTAGTAAGAAAATTCGGATAATGCGAGACAAATATTATTTAAAGCGCGATTAAATATATGAAATTAATGTAAACGTCATCTGGTCATATGCCGTATCTGTGATATTTGCCGGCATTTTAATTATTGATAAACATTATAAGCACGATAACAATAACAAAAAATTAATATAACATTATCACATTATCGAAAACATATAAAGTCGACTCGTTAATTCCCGCATCACGAAGCAAATATTATTTAAATAATAAATATTATTTTGAAAAGAAAAATCGATAATATTATTAAGGTTGATTATAATACTTATTATTATAATACTTATTATAACTATTATAATTAAGGTTAATTATAATGTTCAATCGCGTCAACATCGTGATATTCGACTTTTTCTTCAGTCGAAATATTAATCTCTATGTGTGAAAGTTCTTCTGCATTAATGAAAAGATATTAATGGGAAATTATTAAGTGGAACAATTTGACGCAATCAGAAGAAATATAATTTCGTAGATGCTATACGATCAACTTCCACAGCCATATAATAGTTAAGATATAATTAATTGATACGATAAGAGAGATTTTAAAATGTGATAAAAATATTTTTTTATGTTTCTGAATATAAAATCGAATGCACGAAGTATTATACGTGATCTTTAATTGATACGACTCTCTTAGACATCTTTCCTCAGATTATGTTATCTTGTTTTAGGGTAAAAACACACTTAAAAATAAGCGAAATATTAACACAAATTTAGTATTCTTACGCCGAATAAATAGAAATTTCAGGCAAAATTTCTGATTCCGACAACTTAAATTTCGAGATGCGGCGCAACGATGATTCGCACGTGCGATGTATGATACATTTTACAATCGAGCTTACTAAAAGAAAATGAGCTCTAAGTTTACAGACGCCGAGAGTCGCGCAATAAAACAGTTGTAAAATTTGTTTATCTTGTATAGCATTCGGTACACGGCAAAGCTATGACAACAGACAACAGTCGCGAACTCGAGCACGATATGTAGCTTTCGCCGATAAAGTAGCATAAAAGGTTTTCAACGATACATCGAGGCGAGGATACGCCACACATAATTACGAATCTATTTTTTTCTTATTAATAGATTAATAGATATATGCGTGCGTTTTTCTCTTTTGTTCTAAATAATTATAAAAGAGGGACGAGAATTGGGGAAAGTCGCCTAAGAGAATCATACACAGAAATCATGTTTAAACTTCACGCATTCGCTTTCTGTTATCACGACATTATTTGACGCGCTTCGTACACAATAATTAAAGTTATCGACTTTTCTCTTCAGTCGAAATATTAATCTCTTCGTATGAAAGTTCTTCTGCATTAATGGAAAGACATTAATGAGAAGTCATTAAGCGGAATTCAGCTTGACGCTGAACAAGAAGAAATATAATTTCGTAAAATGCTATACGGCCAATTTCCACAACTATATAATAGTTAAGATATAATTAACTGATACGATAAGGGTGATTTTGAAATGCGATAAAAATATTTTTTTCTGTTTCTGAGTATAAAATCACATTCGAGCAATGAATCACGACGAGAGAATTATGACGAGAATGAAAGGATAAAAATCTTAAAACAAGTGTCAAATCTTTTCGCGTGTTATTTGCATGTCACGTACCATCGTATACTATTACAACGTCCGAGAATAAATGGAAATCCAGATTAAAGTCACTCAAATAGCAATATTATTAGTATGATTATCATTATACTAACATTTGAAATGTGTGACATATGATTTGTCTAATAATATTGTTTTTCCCTTTTTTTTCAACGAGACGAGCAATTCTCGAGTTTCCGCAATGGGCGTTTAGATGCATAACACGCAACTCGCCTTTTTACGGGAAATTCTTTGCACATGGTAGAAGGAAAAGACTGTATGACAATGACACGTATACATATCTTAGTCATTATGAACCAGGTAAAAATTAGAAACCAGGTAAAAATCGCAAACCAGGTAAAAATCGCAAACTAGGTAAAATTCTTCAATAAAACTCGTATTTCCACGCGGGACTTTCCGCGTGAGAAGGAACGCACACTCGTTCGTGCTATCCATGTGTGCCTCGTTCCATGTATGCTATCCATGTGTGACTGGTGGACGTGATCTTTATAATTTTCCTTGGCGAATAATAATGTCGGTTGCAAATATTTCTTATGTAACGTTGACAGCGTCATTGTGCTAGGCGACACCGTTTACTGCGTGTCTTGCGTGATGTAATTTTGCAGAAATGTTTATTTCGCCTTTTCCGTCTGCGTGTGGTAACACGCGAATTCGACGTATCGAGCGTGTTTTCAAGTTCTCACAGTTTGCAGTTTGACGTGCAAGATTGGAATTTCTTGTCGTTAAGTTCACGTTATCGATAAGATCTCTGTACGAGTTACGAGAAACGTGTCTTGAAATATATCGAAGGGACAACCCCTGATAAGAACTGATTATGATATTTAGATTTATCATTGTGATCGCATCAGGAGATTCCGATTATTCCACTCAGAATATTAAGCAAGTTTTATTTAAAAGAAGTAACACACACACACGTTAGTTTTAGTTTAAGTTCTATTTTGAATTGAAAATATGTATTTTGTAAAATTTCGAATTTTCGAAATATTTTTACACACTTTATTTCGTGACATAGTTAGATATTAAATGATATAGTTGAAATTATTTAGATACTTTTGCAATTAGCATCAATTTTTGAGTTAGAGCTTATTTGCAGTGATGAGTTTCTGGTGTATCTAAAGGTTTTATATTGTTATCTTACAAATTATTTATGCTGATAAACATGACGTTGTGTTGTTTCAACGGAAGTTGTGCAAATATTTTCTCGTATTTATTGCGCAAAGGGAAAAATGCCTTTCGTCGTGTGTTGCGTTAAGATTTCCAAATGTACATAGGAGATACAATCTCATCGGTATATAGACAAAGTTAATGCAAAGCATTATATTACCGGAATTTTATCACTCCTACAATATAATAAAGACCCATTGTAATTATGACGTAACTGATTCGATCCTTTTTTACGTTGTTGCTACTTGCTGTCGATTTTATCAGAAGTTTATCGCATTTTTTATCAACACTCTGCCATTGTCGCGTGTTCAAGTGCCATTGCTTTGATAATTGCATACGTATGTATTATCATCTAGGTTAAGCAAATTATTATGTGATACTATAAATGATAGTGAAATTTCATCTTAAGAAAACATTTATTTAAACTTTCGATGGAATTACGCGAATATACAGTGTGTTTAAGCCAAAGTGAAACAATAGTTAAACGCTGTTATTTATAGGTTTGAAGATGTATTTAATGAACAAATTTTTTTTACCTGAATAAAGTTTTATTACAACTTAAAATGATTCCAGAGAATACTCTCTGTACGCATGTAAAAGTTTCCCGAAGCGTCTTCGGGTCACTGTGGAGGCTACAGATAAAAGATTCGAATTGTATAAATAAATTAATTTTGATTTAAACCTTTTCTTGAGTTTTTAGAATATGTTTTTACATGAAAAACATATTCTAAAAATTCATCTTCTTCTTCTACGGCATAACAGTTTTAAAAAGATCCTTAGTCTCAATTTTTTTTTTAGATTTTACAAACCTTTATTCATGCATTCACATGCATTCACATTTTTTTTTTAGATTTTACAAATCTTTATTCATGCATGCAAAAAATGCATTCACTAAATATATCTCAAAACCTACAAATAACAGCGTTTTTTGCTTTACTTTGGTTTGAATACTCTGTAAATGTAAAAAAATTTATGCGATTTTCTAAATCAAGAATTCTTTTGATATTTTCTCTTTTCTTTTTTTACTTCCTTTTTTTACTTTCTTTTCTTTTGTCACTTCTTTTTTTACTCTCGATATCTTTTTCAGCCATAGATATAGCCGTAGTTAGGATTACAAAATATATTTTATGGGTTTTAGAGACGGTAGCAAAAATGTGGAATGGTAATATGGAAAGGTAAAAGAACAACAAGCTTAATGATTGTTAGACTATATTATTGGACGTGTCCAACTATCCTTGGCTAACAAATAATATCGATCGACGAACAATGAATCTCTATAAACTTACAATGTAATTTTGATTTTGAATATTTTGATTTTGGATTTCCTACCTTCCACTTCTCTTCTTACACTTTGTACCTTCAGTCGCGTCGGCAATTGTGCCGACGGCCGCTCCGAAAGAATGTCGCACACGGAGGAGAGATATCATTATAATGAGCGTGGTGATGCACGAACGAAATTACCTCTATACGACAAATCATCGTCATGATCGCATCGTGAATTTCAAAAATATCTCTCGGTCGAAGGTAAAAATACTTTTTGACACCGAAGCGCAGCACTCTCCGTCCATATCACGTTCTAATTTGTGTAAAAGAAGTCAGCTCTCTTATCAGTGGCTTTTATCTTCAGGTATTACACTTGCATATTACGTTTTGGGGGAGAGGGAGAGAGGGGAAGTGGGGTCCGTATTTAAAATATACACATACACGTTAAGTATATGAGATTTCGGGTAAGAATAACTGATACAGTCTTTTACACAAATCAGTTACAGAAGACGCGTGCATTCTCTCGCGCAATAGTTTTTCATTCTATTTAATTTAATCATGCACACATCATATTTTATGTATTTTCAGTTCTTTATATATATATATATATATATATATATATATATATATATATATATATATATATATATATATATATACATATATATATATATATATATATATATTTTTCACAGATATAGATATACAATAATTCTTAGTTTCAGATAAATCGTACTAAATTTATCGTACGTAACTAATATCGTTCGTCATTTCTCTCGAAAATACGAAAACGAAAACGTTATAGAGAATACGGTGTAAATACTATAATTTTTATCGCATAAAATATCTATAAATATATATACGGTACTTAGATGAAAGCATTATAATAGGAACGTTTGGTTTACTGCTGTTCTTACGTTAAATTATCGTTACACTTAAGGGATGAGAGGGGAATAGCGATTGCCGTAACGAATCGATCGATATCTCCTCCTTTATGAAACGCTCGTGTCGCGTACAAAAAAGTTAACGCGTTACTTATACACGAGTCTTATCGATCTATAAAAAATGTTGGCAGAGTGTTTGAAAATTAATTCGTCGTCGAGGAGAACTTTGGCAAAAGTTTGCGACAGGATACGTTAACATCCGTTCTTCGCGAAGGTAATAATAACGTCAGTGTTTACTAAGCGACTGCACTGTTTAAGTCAAAATTATCCATCTGCTTTTATTACATTACGAAATTCCTGTTGGAAGAGATTATTAATCCTGAGGAATTTAGAATTCTAAATGCTACAAAAAAAAGAAGAAAAATAAAAATCGAATTAGCTATATAGGGGGAATCTGTTCTAGTCTGATAATGTTCGTCGTACATTTGCATAGTTGTACATTGTTATACATTTCTGATGGGTAATTGTGCTTTGGTAATCGGTCAGGGAGAGGGGGGAGGGAACTTTATATGTTCGAAAGATAAGGCAAAATTATAGACGCAGTTAGATGTTTTCTTCTTCGCCCCAAGTAGCAGAAACTTTTGAAAGACGTCCAAAAGATGTCTTTTTTACTTCTTCAGACGTCCTTTAAACATCTGTTAGGCGTTTTTAAGACGACTTTTACAAGCTTCTGTTAGCCGGGATCGTACGACCGTGATCTTTTGATTCTATGATTTTCGTCAGGTTTACACAGTAGTCGCTCGTGTTACACTTCACTGTGAAGTAACATAAGATATTATGATGCCTCTTCATCTCGGTCGTTTGTTATGTACACATCTTCTAATGCACACTTTGGTAAATATATATTTAATAATTCGTTATGTGTCGACCCGATGTCCTCTCATGCTTGTACTTTTTTCTTGTTTACCCAGTAGATAAGTTTAATTATGCTATTACCGTTATCGGCCATGGAAAGAAGTAGTTAGGGGACCCTGAATCATACTTATCGATCGTATTTAATTTATGTACCTATCGCTCTGTCAGTTAGACTTTGCGCGAATCGCCTATTAGTTTTTAACCACTAATTTTGATTATCCTCGAAACTTACACGTACATGTACATGCGTTACGTATATTACGTATCTTAATTATACTTCGTCTTTCCTTAAAATAGTTCCTAATTTTACATTATCGCGCAGTTCGCACACGGACTGTTACGCTCAGAATCGAATCGACAAACGAAAAGAAAGTCTATGTACAATTTCGAAACTTTGCTTATAACTTTTCAAAGGTGCAAAAATTATGTTGATATCAAAAGCTTTGAAATCTTCATTGCAAAGAAAAATCATGAAAACAGAAATAAGAGAAATTAATATGTCTGCATAGAATTTATAAAATTACTACTTACATATATATATATAGCTACAGAGATATTTCTTTATTATATTTTTTATAAATTCTCTTGGTGTGCAATATTTTACATCGGTGCGGGTGAGCGCTGAAATATTTGGATTCTAAGCTCGTCTTGTCCTTACGTAAATATAATCTTTTCTACAAAATTATTATGTAAAACAGGCATTGTTGCCCCATATGATGTAAAGCGGGCTTTCCTTTCGCTTATCGATTAAATTACGTATATCTATGTACGTGCGCGAATAGGATACGGTTGGTCCAGTTCTATCGGGGCCTTTCCTTCGACAAGTCTACTAGACCGGACTAACCTGGTGTGACGCTCGGTAAAGCTCAATTTAGGAACCTAGCCGTTTACAATATAATAGGAACTGAGTCGCTTGCGCGAGCGCGCATCTTCGTTGCCCTTGTTGCGCAAGGTTGCCTCTTATAAATGCCGTGATAATCGCGACACTTCTCGCGCGCGCGCGAGTGCGAGTTTCGCGGCGTCTCGTAGATGTCTGAATAATGCGAATTTGTAAAAATTCATTGCTGAGGTAGCCACGCGATTCCTGAGGATCAGCACTCCGCAATTGCGTCACTCGAACATTATTATAATATTATTACAACGTCAGTGCCTATACGAGATGTCGAGGAAATCGATTCGGAAATTTAACGACCGTATAGTAAAAGAAAAGAATTCGTCATATTTATTATTTTCGATTTATGTTATCGTGAAATAATTTATTTACTTTATAAACTAACAAAATTATTTCAACGTGATCGATTGATTATATAACTAAAATAATCGTTATTAGCATTATGTGGGAGCATATGGGTGAAAATGGTTTAAATAAAAATTTGATTACTACATGACTTCTTTTAAAATATCGAATTGCTTTTCTTCCGTCGACATCCTGTATATTTTTCTGCGTGTACGGAATATGAATGATGCTTGTATAACGTTTCTAGAGCCATTATTGTCACACGTTGAGGTTTAACGCAAATGCAAGCTGGAGATTTCCGAGTTATTAATAGGTATGGTCGACTAACTGTTGCTAACAAGCATTGTCTGACATTCGTTGTCGCCATCCGCTTGAAAAACAAAGCACAGGTTAAAGGAAAAAAGAGAATACTGATCAAGTCGTTCTTTTGACTGGGTGTCGCTCAATTAGGTAATCTTTAATATTCAAAAGCGCGCTAATATAAAGCTGCATTGTTTGTATTGGTATTGATACTATGTTAATTAATGGTTTTATGTTAATGTCATGTTAACATTATGTTAATAGCTTTTAGAAAACGACTCACTCGTATTAAAAGCGAGCTCTTCAAACGATGTCGTTAATTTCATTGTTACTAAATTACACTTAGATTTCTCATCGGTGCGTCGTGGCGAATTTAAGATTTCGTCCTGTGATGTGTGAAAGATTGAACTGATGAACGCGATGAAAATCGCGCGACGTTCCGGGTAACCACTCGGTGGAAGAGTCTACACGCGAGACACTTTCGGAGTTCTTTGCGCAATGTAATCCCAAACAAACTTCAACCCTTTGGGAAACCCTCTAAGCGTATAACTTTCACTATCACGCGCGTCCTTCCTCTCGAGTCTCCCTCCTTATAAAGAAGAGCGGAAAAAAAGCGCGACACGTGTCGGGCGCAAGGGTGCGCGGCCGTCCTTCGACGTTTTCCACGTTTACCTCGCACGAGCGTCAACCCTAATTTCACGAATTCCGCGGCGTTTTACAAACTTCTTTTTTGCGCTGGCTCCTCGCGATACACACGCGCTCCACCATCTGGCGCGGTCGGTCATTGCGAAAGGGGCCGCCGCGGGCTAACAATAGCCGGTCCACGAGCTAAGCCGACGGCTACAGAAGGGGGAGAGCGAAATCTTATAAAGGATTTCCAAAATATTGTGTAAATCGGCCAGGGGGAGGCAGCGCGCCAGCTGAAAATTTGGGGTGAAATCTGTCGAAATGGGGAAAACGCGCGTCGCTCGCGCACCCGGTGCGTCACGACACGTGGACGCGGCGCTAAATAAATAAAGGGTTGTGTTCTAAGCTCTAACCCCTCCCTCTCTCCCTGCCTTTTCTTCCTCTTCCTCCTGCGTGCCTCCGAGGGTGCACACGGACCCGGACAATGCACCCGTTTACAACCCTTCGACAATTTCGATTCCCGTTTCGCGGATTCTCCGCTTTCACCCTCTCCTCGTGGAATCGCTCAACTGGAAATATTTCCGTGTAACTCGCGGCACGTCGAAAAGCCGTGAAAGGGTTCCTCTCTACGCGACGATTCCCTGTTTCTGCACTCTTTTTCTCTCGCCTTCTTTTTTTTACATGATGTTGAAAGGTTTGCTCGTAACAGTCGCGGAGCGACGAAACACCGTGTGGCCAACGTGAACGGTGTACGATATTTCATCGTCGAATATTCGCGACGTCTAGTGTCGAGCTCGCGCGACAATAAATCCAGAATTAGATCGGATGAAACTGAAACACGAGCGCGAGTTTTGTATACTTTCTCAACGGTTTTGTTACCTTTCGTTAGGATCGCATGGAAAATCGCATCTAGCGTTTCGAGTCTCGTATTACGCAGTCGTTACGCACAACATAGTTCTGTATTCTTTTACATTGAGCGTTCGGGAGTTGCATCGAAATTTCTGGGGTATGTAACGTTGTAATTTATCTACTTGAATCGATCAATTTGAATAAGTTGTTATTCGCTTTTTTTTAACGTCTTGATCAGACGTTCCTGAAGATACGCCGTTCAGAAATATCTCCCAAAATAATTCTCGAGATATCGGTTGCTTTTTTCGAGGGATTTAATCAGTCAATAATTTCGGATATGAGATTGATTGTGATAAAATTGCGCGCTTTGATGTTATTGACTGTTTCGAGAGTCGCGATACCAGCCGTCAGTTGTTTGCGATGTTTTTCCGTCGATCGCTTATGAGATTACGCTTTTACGTTCCAATCTTTAATATCATTAACATGACTTAACAGTTATCGAGTCTCGAATTTCGACATTGTTAGCATAATTTAATTTCCATCGCTGTGTATATTCAGTTAAATATAATTGCATATAATTGCAAGAATATCATAGATCGATAACGTTAATTAATTTGTTGGTATCAATAGATGGAGGCATAATTTCATTTCGAAAGCATTTAGTCTGCCAAGAATAATCGAGTTACCGGCTCGGAGAAGAGAACAAATGTTGCATCAATAATAAATATAAAATATTTACGTACAAAAATAACTATAAAGTAAGGAAGATAATTAGATCACTAATTTTAGTTTTCGCGCGAGCTTTTGACACAGCCATAATGCTTTCTTTCCTCAAATCGAGGGTTCATTTCTTCGATTGCGTCGTCGTCGTTGTGTTTTCGCGAGATCTCCTGTGTGGAAAAGCATTTCGTCGACCCTCGTCTCTGGCCTTCGTGGACTTCTTTGATCGTCCGAGACGTCGATTGTGGCCGTGGTGAAGTTTCAGGACGGAGGAAAAGACGCGGATATGACGATAGGGGTGGCGGTCGTCTCGATGGTGGTGGCACGATGGTGGTGGTGGTGAAATTATTACGGAAGGATGAAATTTCTACAAGTTGGCGTAAGACGATAGGGGAAGAAAGTGGACGCAGCGGGACGAGATCGAGGGATGGTTGGTCTAAGGAGGAGCGAAAGGAGAACGGAGGAATTAAGAAGGGGAGGCTTTGATAATTGCAATCCACTTCCTTGCCCGGGGTATAAGCAGGCTGTGGTGGTTGATGAGTAGGGGAAGCAGGGTGGACCAGTGTGAAGGGAGGGGCGAACCGTTCAATACCTTTTTCTGAAATTTACTGTGGGCTCGGCGATCCTTTTGTAAATAAATGACGAGGAAACAAAACGATCGCGATTATTGTATTCGCAGAGGGTGGAATACGGCACGGACCGTGAAGAAACACGGCAGCCATCTTTAAGCTAGCCGAGCTTGCGAGCCCCCGCGAAGATTAGACCTTGGGAATGGATTTCTTACGTCGTGAAAGCGTACTTATTTTTATATTTGAGAAAATGAATTATTATTTAAGTATCTTTATGATATATTGAAGGTACTTTCAAATAATCTCTAAAACCATACACACGCGGATATTTCTTGAAATATTAAAGAAAATTTTTTCATATTACTGAAACTACTGATATCTGAAATTAACTAATTTATAGCAATTAAAAATATACTAAAGATCTTCATATCTCTTTTGTTAAATTCTAATATCAGTTAATATTAAAAACCCAAACATTATACGCTCTATAACAATATTAGTTTCCAATCGTTTTCAGGCTATTCACACGTTGTATCCAGTCTCGAAGCTCTTCCAATACATCAAATTGGATTCGTATTTTTCTTCTGAAAATATCCGACGAAATTCAGTTGGTTTCCGTTCAGTGTCGTTCTTAGGTTCTCTATCGAACGATAACAAACGATAACGAAATATCCTCCGCCTTTTGTCTACGTGGTGAAAGATCTCCACTCTCGCTCCACGTCTTCCTTCGTTTTTGGTGCTCTTGGAAACCGCAAGATATTATTGATTTTTATACATATCTCCCCGCACCATCCGGGATATATATATGTGTGTGTGTATGTGTGTGTGTAGGTGGACGTTCGTTTTTCGAGCGTGTGCATGCACACATCTGTGTGTTTACGTACGCGAGAGTAGAGGGGTTGGCTATGTGTCATTTACTCATCGGCCGTGAGTCGGTGCGAGAAGGACGACGAGTCCTTCCGCCTTCCCTTTTCAAACCGACTCCACCATCAAGCGAAAGGAAAACTTCTATATGGCGCAAGCGCCCCGTGTCGCATCGACTTTTGCGCGTCCCTCTTGATTGAAAACCATCGTAGCCGCTTTTCCTTTCGTTCGTTTAGTTCGATAGAACCTATCGCTCCGCGTCTGGAAATAATGCCCCGAATCATTCGTCGTTGATTATAAACAATAAAATATCTCGACCACCACCATCGAAATTTCTTTCGTTCACACAGTGTGATTCGGAGAATAATTATGAAAATGATAATAAAAACAATTATTTTTATCCTTCATTCCGGGGTTTAAACATGGTTGATGTACGGTTAGTTTATACGATAAATCTAATAGTCTCCCTTAATGATGTGATTTCAGAAAATTTTGTTTAAAATTTATGTAACAATGTTAAGATACTGTTATCTTCTTGCTCTGACAACTCGGTATGAAAAAATCCCGAGAAATATTATTTTCGACGAATGTTGCTTTGCTTTTTCCCATTTTTTAGAGAACATTGAAATATTCTGGCTTTCGAGCGTGCAAAAAAGAGCAAAGGGACGCAATTTGTCAAATTTAATTTGTTTGAGATATCATTTGTCAGCAGTGGTAAAAAGACACCCTAAGAGCGACACCCTTAAAAAAACAAAACCAATGAGTCGGCGGATCTAACGGCCGTCCATCAAACTGAATCGAGTAACTCGATATCTTAAAACCAGCGATTGAAACCGGTGTAATTTCAGCGAGTTCAGATTTCGTTAGACACAAGAGAAAACGATCTCTATGTTTATTCGTGACGATGTAAATGCCATTATTGACGTGGTGTACATTCTTCTGTACACACATAATATCAACGGACGAAAATTAATTCAGTCCAAAAAGACGAGACTCGCGGAAATCGAGCAAAGACACAAAAATAGATTGCAATGTAAAGTAAGGATAAATAAAATAAGGGTAAAATAATGGAAAATAAACAGAAATGAAAGGAATAAATTTTATTCACCTAAGTTTTCTCGATCACACGTGTGTAACTCATTAGAAAGATAAATAATTGCAAGATATCAAGCGTACATAAAGAGAAAATAAATATAAAATAACAAAAATAATATAGGTCCCATCTCTTCGCGCAGTTTTATACAAAAATATGCGATTAGTCGAGTAACGGCAAATTGTTTTTGCGCCGGCAATCGATTGACTATATCGTGTGACTAGATCAGGTATAGGAATTGTAAATCGCTTCCAAAATGACTAGACATGCTAATTAATCCCCCTAATTTCAAGAAGCATACACTATATCGTACGCTTGTGTGCCCCCATTTTACACGGATTACGCTTTTCCACGAGCGTACATACGCACGTGTACGCATAATCCTCGTTTTATCGTTCACATGTGAAATGCACTTAGCCTACGACGCTCTTAATATAATCAATAATATATATTAATGAACAATATATACTTTGTGTTTTTTTTTTCTTTTCGTTTGGTTTACGGGTAAAATTTTGATTTTGCGCTCAATTATGTTATTACGAAGGCAATGTTGATTTTGGGCATGCGAGCCGTTAGGACTCCACTCGGAACTTCGTTATAATTTCTTTGACTTGCCGGTTGCATCGACACGCTTGGTTAACCGACCACAATTAGCGTCCGTTCACAATATTTGTGCCAGATTATATATAAACCTAAATATGTAATAAACAGATACAGAGGAAATAAAAATTCCACGCAAGTGTCGATGTAACCGAAGCTAACTACCACCTTCCCGTTACGAAGAGAAATTGTTTCGTGCTTCGCACGAATTTTTGACGCTCGGCAGAAAGTGCTATAGTTAGATTATAAATCAGCACAATTTAAATACGTAAAATTTCGTCCTCGAATATCTATCGGTACAATCGTTTTACAAAATCGTTACGGTCGTCTTATCAAACGATGACTTTCTTATCGATACCGCCGAATTAATCAGTATTCAGTGGTATTCTGATTTCTCTCTCTCTTTCTCTCTCTCTCTCTCTCTCTCTCTCTCTCTCTCACTCTCTCTCTTCAAAAGAGATATCTGCATTTGATATTCTACATTGTGAGATTCGCGCCGAGACACGTCAAAGAAATTATTTCGTATCCATCGCGCGTCCGCTCGCTGTTATACGGAAATGTGTGTAGCCACGCGCGCGAAAATCCACGCTGTTCCCCGGCGTCGCCCGGATTTATTATCCACCCCGTATATATGTGTGTGTGTATATATATATATATATGTGTCCTTCTCTCTCTCTCTCTCTCTCTCTCTCTCTCTCTCTCTCTCGCGATAATAATTAAAATCCCCCGCATGTACGCATGTTCTGCACAGGCCATTAAATGCACAATACACATATCTGTATGGGACGCAATTAAGAGCGGGGTGAGGTGGCCGTTTTGCATGTCAGCGTACTGTGCACGTGGGGCAAGAAAAATGGGCAAGCCGGCGGGACGCAGGGGCGGAAGGAGGGGGAAGGTTAGGACGCTGCTCCCTCCTTCCCGTCCGTTTCGTTGTCGGACTTTTTCGGAAAAATCCCCGCCAAGGTCACGACCTCTTCCTCACTCTGACCTTCTCTTCAGAGGGGGAGGCGGGGTGGGGGAGGGGGCCAGATGTGGAGGTCCGTTTGTCCGGGCCCATCTCGCCGGCTCGACAATGCCGCCAAAAATTCGTTTTTCCCCAACCGATTCGCTCCTTCTCTCTCTGTCCACAACGCTACTGCGTTCTTCCTTTTCCCTCGATGGGTTCGTAATAGCCGATCGCCTCTCCGCCCCTAAGGTATGTTAATGCGCGCGTGCGCGCATACTAATTCAGACGAATTTTCGGCAACGGTCACGGGGTGCAGGCTCCGCATTAAATGACGCGGTTCTCGAATTTCAGCTGCGCGCGGGGAAATTTTTATGGCCCATGAGACAAAAAGCAGCTCGTGCCATGGAAATCGTTCGGAATAAATCATGCTGTCTCTGACAGTGGCGGATTCGCCGAATTGCCAGAACGCGTCGGCCTACGAATGTTGCATTTCAATGGGAATCGATGCGTCTATCCGATCGCGTTATTTATACCCCACCCGTTATTTTCGACAGCGGCTGTACGATGCATAATTTATCTCTCATAGGTTGCTGCTCGTTCAAGCGAATCTTGAGAATTGTAACGCGCGGATCAGTTATCGCGACTATTTGCCATTGAATATACACGGCTTAGCGCAATTTTTCTTAGATTTTACATCGCGTGTCACTTTGAACAAATGTGTATAAATATAATTTATATCTTAGCCAATAAGAGGAATATCGTTATTACTCTAATCGTCGAATTTTCTTTTTCTTTCAAAGACCAATTACATGTAAACTGCACACGAATGAAAATTATAATATTTCTTTCAATAATCATCGTCTCGGTATTTTTTGAAAGGAATATCTGTGGCCGAATTTTTGTTGGTGCGAGTACAGGAAAATTTCACTGAGGTAGCCTTATTATTTCACAATAGAGTAAGGGCAATATCGTGGGCGTACGTCGCATGGGCGGAAATACATCGTGCATGTTTGTTCATCGGAGGGATGGACGGCGCACCGGTGCGCTACGAGAAACGTATTTTGGGAAGCTAGGCAGGTTAGAACGGCTGTACACGCTCCGCTATCGAGTGGTCACTGCGACGACAGCTGCCTTTGTGGGCATTTCGATCGAATTCGGGCCTTGACCGCTGCCGAGAAAATAATCTTTTAGCCGGGCCTTTTACAAACCCAACAAATTTTTATAATTTGCTGAACAATCTTTGAGTGAGCTACAATTTCAAATAGCAAATTTTTAGAAGAACAACTCGAGTTTCCTTTTTGTATTTTCCTTCAGATTTTTCGGAAAAACTGCAAACCGCATACTTGTAACTTTTTCCTCGAGTTTGTGGAAGTGTATTGATAGTTGTTATTCCCATTACGGCTGGAACTTTTAGGAAGTGGATAATCTATCCTGCGTCAAAACGATTAAAATAGGCATCATGCATCATGAAAAAAAGACACTGTCGCAATGAATTCCAAGATGAGTAGGTGTAGCGCGTTTCCGAGAAACAATTCCTCAGTTAATTCTCAGTTATCCTCGAGATAGGGGATTTTTCAATTACACGTCGTTGCGCGCATGAGGCGATCGACCATTACGATCTGATCGAGAGAGTACATTCGATGGAAACTACATTCGATCGCAATAAACGGTCCGCTGCGTCGGATACATATATATCGAGACCTGTATGATAACGAGGAAATTCGCGATAGATTATGCGCGTTTCTCAAGCTGCAAGGCACGAAATCGAAACAGCTTTCAGAGAGGAACTTTTTAGCCCGGACTACAGCGTCCGCGATCTTTACCGACTAGACTATGTAATTCTTAGTTAATTAATCCGAGTTGTGCCACGTAGATTATACGTACATAAATCGGGGGCCGTTTGTTCAAATATACTTCAAGTGGATCGAGCTTGGTCATTTCGAGACCCCTTCCTATGGCCAGGAGGGGACCGATTATATATTGATATCCGCGGTACATTTACGCGCGAGAGACACACGCATTATCATTATATTTAAAAAAGTATTTAAAGTCTATGCAATGTGTTGGCTGTGTATACGATTGTACTTTTTGTTGCGGGTTATACTGTGTCCACCCCTGAGTTGGTTGGCGATTCTCTGCACATTGATATATTCAATGCTGTTGCCATTGTAGGTCATGCTCTCGCCCTCTCGGCCGTACACGTCGTGACGATAATTAGCGACTGCGCTTAATTGGCGCCGTCCGCCAATCTCTCGGAGTCTAGCGTACTCTATATGTGTTGTATACGATAAATACCTCTCTAAATCTTTTCTATCTTCTCTGAAAACTCTGTTCTTATATATATATATATATATTTATATATAAAATATTGACTAGAACAGTCGCGAAAGGAAAAGTCAGTAAGAGGTGGTGCGCTTATTAATGCCGATCGAACGTGATCACGCTCGATTTCACGCGCGATTGGTTAATTTGAGCAAAAGCAAAACCGAGGCTAAAACAAGTGAGAAAGATGGGGAGAGAGAAAGAGAAAGAAAGAGAGAGAGAAAGACAAAATGAAATGTGAAGAAATTGAAGGCCCCCGTAATAGGCGAGCCTGTCGCATTTTAAAATAGGAACTTTGTCGATCACCCGTTCGTGTTAATTAGTTACGATTAAGTATTTACAAGAGTATAACATGTTCCCTACTTAGAACAATAATATAACAATCTCGTCACGTTATTTTCCATCGTTATTCGGTCGGTCTGCCAATTTTATCGTCTTCAGAAACCATCGGAATAAAACGCGTATAAAGTGCCCTACTATTTACTACTCTAGGACGATCCCTCCATGTTTCGAGTATGTGAGTCGATGACGTGTCGCGCAATGACGAACAATCTCACGTCATGGAACGAATTTTTCGAAGTGAAAGACATACACATAGAATCACCTTTCTCACTTCGGGGATAATATCGTAATGTAAAAACTGATTCGATTAATGATTGAGAAAACGATTTAGGAACTCTCAGAATGTCCGCGACAAAAATCCCTCACTTAATCATCGCGCTTTCGAACATTAATCGATCATAAAACTAATTTTAATACGACACGGAGAATTACCTCCGACGTTGGTATATTTGACTGTTCGGATATTTCGTTAATGTCCCATCACTCTTTCTCTATCTCGGTTCTATCGATTCGCAACGTCGAACCAGGGAGTTCACTTAATCGATAATGGGAAAGCTGCAAAAGTTTCTAAAAGTACGCAAAAATCAGTGAAACGTTAGAGTATTACAGTGCGAATAACACTTGCCGGCAGCTCGCTCGTCTTCTACGATAAATAGGAACCGATACCACGTGCTCAGGTTGCAGATGCGGATGTTGGCAGCCCTCGGGGGCCCCGTCGTCATTCGCGAGATGCAGGCGCGAAGGATGCCACGATGAGTCAGTTAATACACTCAGGCGGGGGTGAGGGTGAAGGAAGCGGTCAGGGCGTTGCTGATTCTGGACTTGACTGGCAGGTAGACCAGAGCCGGTGCGAATCTTTTCGCTGAACTCGACTCGGCGCCTGCTTGCAACAAATCCTGTTCCTCCAGCAGGAACGGTTGCATGATGGTCTTGTCGGGGTTCGAATTCATGTCCTGCGGCATCGCGTAGCAGACCGGCACCTTCTGTTTGTTCGCCACCTCCTTCAGGGTCTTGCTAAGTTCAGCGATCACGCTCTCGGTCGGATCGCCGATCGCCTTGTGATCCTTTCGTACGTGTTTTTTAATCCGATTCAGATTCGTCGTCGCGTATCCGCATTGTGCGCATTTATACGCGCCTTGAGGCGTCACCTGCACCGCAGTCTCGTCTTGACGTTGGGTCCTCGCCGCGACTTCGGAGACGCTCTGATCTGCAGTCTGAGGACTGCAACCCGCTCGGTCGTCTTTTGCATCCGGGTCGCCTCTGTCCTTGGTGTCATTCAACTTCTCGATGTCCGGTCTATTTGGAATCGGCTGCTGGAATTGCGAAAGCAGCGTGGGGAATTGATGCTTAGTGAGTAAGTGCTGATGAAGCAACTCCGGTTGATGGAAGTCTTGCGAGCAAATCGGGCACTGCAGTGATCGATCGCTCTCGAGATTTTCCTGGGCATTCACGTGGGATCGTTCGTGAAGAAAGAGGAAAGGTAGCACGGGCGTCGTGAAGTTGCAGAAGGAGCAACGGTAGTTCTTCAGCTGCTCTTCCGAGGACGAGCCGAAGAGGTTGGAAAGCACCTGATTTCCCAGGTTCGTATAATCTACGGATTTGATCTGTTGCGCGATCTCGAAGCCGTTGGGTATCTTCAGATTCGAGGACTGCTGGGTATTCTTCGCTGAAGCGACACTTCTGCTGCCCGTTCTGGACGTTGCTTGATATTGTTGTTCTAATTCGCGCCATTTATCGATTCCCGCCTTACCGTGGTCACCCATTAGATGGGCTTTCAACCACTTGACGCTGCGAAACCTTCGATTGCAGATCGGACAGACCTCGGTGAAGTGAGTGAAGTATCTGTTACTGAGGTCTCCTAACTGTTCCGGCTTCAGTGCCGAGTCGTCTGTGCTCGAGGCATCGTAAGACTCCTGCCTGTTGTTAGTCGATCCCGAGGTGTTCTCGTCGACGATACCGTGGGTGTTGTGTTTGTGCACGCGCAGGAAGTACTTGCTGCACAGCTCCTTGTTACAGATGTTGCAAATCACGCCACCTATTTGTGCGCCGTTCTCGATCTCGATACCGTGCATCCGTTGCATGTGCGTCTTCATGAAGTACTTGTTGCAGAGCTCTTTGTTGCAGATCTCGCAGTAGCTCGATGTGGGAGTCAATGACGTCACTTTTCTTTCCGTTGTCGTCGTCGGTGTCGTCGTCTGGCCGGTAGGAGTTTGACTAGTTGGCGTCGAATTAGTAGTAGAAGTGGCTACCGTCGGAAGTGTCGGCAAAGTAACGACACTCGACATGACAGGCTGATGCTCCTCGTTGATGTGTCTTCTCAGTGCTTCTTGGCTAGGATAATCCTTCTCGCACAATGTGCAGAAAATGGCGGAAATAGCCACGGGCGACTTCTCTTGCGGCGACGATGAGATCTCATCGCTCGTGGCGCCGTGCTCCGTCGCCATGTGGACACGCAAGGCCGACCTTGAGTCGCACTCCTTGGCACAAACGGCACAGGACGTTCCTTTACCGGAATTCAGGCCGTTCAACTGCAGTATCATCGTCTGCAGCTTCTGCAGATCCTCGGAGATGGAGTCGGTGCGTGGATCAGAGCTATTTGGGTCGTACTCCTGCTTTGGTGAGCCTCGTTCTTCACCCTCGTGTATTTTCTTGCTATGTGCCTGATACAGACCTGCTGTTTGGAAGCGAATACCGCAAGGTTTGCATTCATGATCCTCGCCAGTGCGATCGTTTGACTCCGAACTCGCGGTGTTCTCGGTGACGATCAAGTTTAGTGGACTGGTTTGCACCTGATGCCAAATGACGGACGCGCCGGGATTGCTGGGCGACCTCTCGTTATCCTGTAGGACGATGCCGTGCCTCTTCATTTTGTGCGTGCGCAAGAAATACTTGTTGCAATACTCTTTGCAGCAAATCTCGCAGAACGCTTCGGGGTTTATCACGCCTAGACGGCGCAGGCGATCGGCATTGAAGCCGGAATCACGCGCTTGTTGAATAGATTGAGGCGACAGGTGTCTGGGTGCTGGCATAAAACTAGTGTCTTCTTGTTCGATGCCGTATTCTTGCTTGAAGAGCGTTTCCATGCCGCCGGGACTGTCGCGCGGAGTCTCCCGATCTTCCTCGTTCTGCTGGTCCGAGTGGTCCATCGACTCGTTGTGTACCTTTTGTTTGTGCTTCTTCGCGGACTCTTCGTTACGAAAACGCTTCTGACAAATATCACAGGCGACACCGGTCGTCGGCGGCGTCGCCGGTGGTTCCAGCTTCACCGTGGTGGCATTGCTATGAAAGTTCGTACCGAACACGATGCCGGACACATTCGCGTCCATGGTGCTTAATGACGTCGCCGGCGAGTCCACGTAAATCCCGTGCTTGTTGGCCTTGTGCGTTTTCAGGAAGTACTTGTTGCAGAATTCCTTGTTGCACAGATCGCAATACGCGTCCGGATTGAAGATCCTTATCGGCGCCGCTCCTAAAGATGATCTTGGCACCTGTTGGGGATCTGCCAAGGGGAAACCTGGTAAGGATAGGTACGGCGCGAGAGCGCCTGGGAAAGCCGAGAGTGCCTGCAAGTGATTTGTCATCGTGGCGATCTGATTAACCGAGCCAGGCCACGAATCCTCGCCCTGCGCTTGCATCTGCGACTGCATCTGTGCCTGCGCATGCTGACCGCCGGAGGTCAGCCACGTGTTCGAGGTGGCGAAGTTCTTGACGCTGAGAAGGCTAACGGGACTCTCGGTCTGGTCCAGCTGCTGCGCCGGCTCTAACTTAATGGCGACGTCCGGCGCCGCTGGATTCGCGGCGCCGTGCTCGCCGTCCACGTGGACGTTAAGCGTCTCTTTGCTGTCGAAGAACCGGCCGCAGTGCTGGCAGCGGAACTCGTTGTTCAGGTTCTCGTCTTTCGACGACGGCGAATGTTCGTGATGGTGGTGGTGGTGATGATGGTGATGATGGTGGTGGTGATCGAGGTATTGGTCATGGTGATGGTCGTTGCTCGGCAACGGCGATCGCGACGACGGCTTACCTTCGCTGTCCTCGTCCTCGTGCTCGTTCTCGCGCTCGTCCTCATGCGCGTCGGTTGCGAGGCTGGACGAAAATCTTACCGGTGTGGTCTGTTTCCGACGCTTCTTGGGCCCGGTCGGATCGGTGTCGCCGCGAACACGCTTTCGGGGGTCGCGCTCGCTGCAGCTCGAACCGTCGCTGTCCAGCTCCGCCGCGTCCGGCATCATCGTCATCTCGTGCGACGTCACACTCGACGACATCTCGGTGGGTCTACGCGACAAGCCTGCGCCGAGTCCTTAGATGTTGCTTGGGGTCTGGTAAAAGAAAAATAGATTTCTTGTGTTTAAGAAATCGCGATGAACCATGCTGTCTAATGAGATCTTCACGAAGATTCTCGCACACAAAGTACGAAAAAGAAGTACAAAAAAAACTCTCATAAAATTTTGTTTTATTTTTTTCTCGGTTTGATTTATATCAAATTTAAAGTATACACTAACACAAATTATACACTACACTTTTACGCGTTGCTTGATACATATGTATAATACTCAATTTAATTCAACAATTAGTCCGAAAATAAAACTCGCGCGGATATAAATCTTAGATACGGCGAGCGCGAGACGCGAACGATCGCGAATGCTCGTAGAAGGCGACGTTAATTCGGCAAGAAGATCATAATGATTTCGTTCGACGGAGCTGGGACTGAGGGTTGGGGTCAGCTAACGAGCACTTCGTGCTATAGGAAGACGCACGCGAGACTTGACGGACGAGACACGGCGGGATACCCTCGCGCGCACGATGGACATGCGGTCTCGAAAAAGGGAGACGCGATGTCGAGGGGGAGGTGGGGACACCCTCATGACTCATATCTACGTCCACCCCACGCGCATTCGGGGAATCCGGAGGAGAGTACGAATATGCATTTCAGAAGCGCGGCGTAATTACTAATTCAGGATGACAGCCGCGTATCGCGGTAAGTGGCCGTACGGTCAGTGAACCCTCAACGATATCCGCTATTGTCCGGCCTGTGCGTGATATATGCGTGAGAAAGATCGCGTGAGCCGCGCGTGCATATCGGAAAGTTCAGAAACATTTTAGCGATTCTTACGGTTAGACGCCCCGTTATCGTGGTCGCGCGGTGTCGCAAAGGGAATATCATGATACGAATATAAATTGCCAGCAAATTTAACGACCCTCTTCAACAAAGCGCTTTGTTTGGATAATGCTTATTGTAAGAGCAATTTAGTCGTTGATTATTAAGATTCAATATTTTTTAACACACTTATGTTTCCCAGAGATATAGAAGAGCCTCAACTGTAAGATAATAGCGCAATAAAATCTACAAACAGATTTGCGTTAATTTGAAATTTTCCCGGAGCTTTTGCGAAAGTTGGTAAACGGTCGAATACTCATTCGGGTTTCATAGACGCAACGTTGTACGCGGAAGATTTTCTTATTTCCATGAAATATTTGCAACGTTGCGTATAAATCTGATAATTGTCATCTTAAGGAGATATGCCATGCTCTTAAAAACTTTGTCGACCAAATACTAACTTTCTTCTGCAAAATTTATGTCGTATATATACAAAAATGCCTTTGTACAATGAAAGTACAAAAATTAATTAGAATATTTGTTCAATATGAACATTTCACGACGAAGATGACGAAAAATTTCAAAATTGAACTGTCAGTTAACTGTCAGTTAACGTAAATATTTATTTGATACTAAAGTTCTGTACATACTGAATATGTATCTGCTCCGCTCAAAAAAAAATTCAAATAACATTGCTGTATCTTTACAATTGAATATTTAAAAGTGTACGAAAAATTTGTAGAAAAATATCTATACATTCATGATTATGTTTCCCGCTAAATATATGAAAACAGAGCAATATTTATGTAAAATCTATATGTATAAAAAGAAACATAAAAAAATAAAGTTTCGTTAATGACGAATCGCCTCTACACTATTGACATTTTTGGAATTCGTCATCCTCGGCGTATCCTCTTAACGCGTAAAATTGCTTCAAACATAATTACAACAAGAATAAATTTCATTAATTTCTCACCCGCGAGAGACGCATTTCCTGATTGAGATTTCAAACGTCTCCGTTTCATGATTGTTGAACCATAGAAATCGCTTTCATGCCGAAATAAGATACCTCGCAAATCGCACATTGTCACCGTGAGTCACGCGAACCGCCACGTTGTGCATCTCGATTACGAAAATTTTGCGACGTTTTATAAAACTCGGAGCGGCCCGCGACGGTACAATCACCTCGTCTCCCGGCCGTTTCTTTCGTCTCCGAATGAGCGAAAGTGCCGTTATTGGCATGTGGCGTCGTCGGGGGTAAGTGAACTGCGAGGATCTCGAATGTCACTGGTCAAGCGCACCCTTATTGACGAAGATATTTCCATCTTCACGTCGTTCAGGCTTTCCCCTTCGAAAGTGGGAGGTCACCCCACGCGCACTAGAACATTTTTTATTTAATATCGATCTGATCGACGAGGCTCGCGAAGATGTTAGAAAATCACGTTGAAATCAAACGGACTCGTCAAGACGTGGTATCCACGTAGTCTGAGGCGAATAAGAAACCGCTTTAGAAACGGACACAACGCCACGGCAAAGCTGGGTTATAACGGAGAAATCAGGTATTCGCGTGCCTAATCCTCGGCGGTTTACGCCTCTTTGGATTCTACCAGGTTACTGTTAGGTATAGGCACGATGCCCCATGAAGGGCCTGTCACGCTGTTTTCGTCCCTACCACCTTCGAAGACCGATACAAATCTCCCCACCTCGCTAGCGTCACTGCATTCTGCTACATTCTATGGATAGATGATTTTCGGTATTATTTAAATAATGTTGACGTAAAAAGCGGCCTCATGTGAGAATAATATTTTAACGAAGTGAGTGAGAATTATTCGCTGGGCAATAAGGTAAACGTTCTAGTGATTGAACGTGTGATTGAATATGATAATTGAATTACTAATAATATACTTGTGTTTGTTAAGATGCTTATCAATAAATGAAACAAAATCACAAAGTAACTAAATATTTCTTTTCATTTATTATATTGTTTTGTATATAAAAAGCATTTCAACAAAGAAAAATACAAAACCAATATGTCAATCATTGAGACATATATGTTCGATTACTGGGACGTTTACTTTATTTGTGCGTTTTGTAATGATGATTTTAATCGGATAGTGTGTTTCGCTAAATAGACTTCACGTAACTTTTAAGATGACACTTAAAATAACGCCACCACATTACGTATGTGGGGTATGTAGACAAGTATTACACATTATACAAGCATTACACGTGTATTATTGAGTTCATATTTCTCGGAGAATATCGATCTGGTCGAGCCAACTAGATATAACGAATGCTTAAGATGATTCATAATGTAGACCGAAATTTGAAAGACACAAGTAAAGGGAACGATGCAAACAAAATTGATAGAAATACTGAAGAAATCTATATTTAGTTTCCCAAAAAACTCCTCGATAAGTACAAAACGATATAAAAAACGGACGATAGCCCGAGTATAAAAGCCGCCACCGTTCCGCATTCTCGGCTATTATATTATATTCGCTCAGACTCCTTGACAGTTCCCTATTGGTCCACGTCTTTTAATTCGTTACATCACAAATACATTTAAATCCAGACAACTAGTATCACGCACGGAAACAATTATGTTAGCTGCCCGTCGTTCAAACGTCTGCTTAACCGACAACACGAGTCCTCGTCCATCTATTTATTTTTCCTAATATACTCGCGATTATACTAACCGTGTATCTTTTTGAGCGATCGCCCGTTAACGCTTACAATAATAAGAGATTTGTCATCGACAGAAGATGATAAGATTTCTCGGTACACAAGTCAAATAAAAATAAGGAATTTGATGCCTTAGCGAAAGCCAATCTTAATAATGTATTACGTGTTAGCAGAGCACGCTTTATTAATTTTCACTGCTTATTTATTAGTAATTGGTAATTAAATTCGACAGCGAGTACGAAGATATAAAGTAAATGAATTCATTCTTTCGGCTTTCAAAGGCTGCTGTAACGAAGATGTTTTTTCAATGGCGCAAACATACGCGACAGATACACATTTGTCTCTTCCGTTTGCTCTGTTATCAGCTGTATTGCGTTACATACATACGACAGAAATTGCTTATTGATGGCACATGAAACACGTGCTACTAATAAATACTGGCGTTATTTCTTCGATTGTTTCGACAGGTGGTTCAGATATCAAACATGCCGATTTGCTCCGTTGATTCCGCCGATCGTCAAACCGATATAATGTGAAATATTTATCGATTTATGATTTATTAGTCGATAATTAATTAATTGCACGTAAAACACGTGTATCATACATGTGCGTAGTTCTATCGAGAGTGCACACTGAGAGAAAAATGTATGATATTTGGAACTATAATGGCATAGTAAAAAGATTATAGTTAGAAATATAATTTTTATAGTAAATGTTACCATAATATTTGTAATATTTACAATATAAGCATAGTATAACTGACCTGTGTAAAATTTTTACCAAGAATTAAAATTATTTGAAATAAAAAATATAGTAATAAAGTGGCAAATATTGAATGGTAAGAGAAATTAATTATTTTATATAGTCAATGCAATTGGAATATTTGGCAAATATAGGTACATATAACTATATTCCCAAAAGGTGCTTTATCATATATATAGAATAATAAGATGGTGACTATAAATCTGTGTTCATTCTACTATATCTTCATGTTTAGATGAACTATAAATATATGTTTGAGATCAAAACGAACTATAAAATATAGTGAGATTATAGTTATTCCAATTATTTTTTTCTCTCAGTGCACATGGAAAAAAGATTGAATTAATCAAATATCTGGTCGAATATAAACGATCCAGAAATTCCGATTGAAGTAACCCGAATTGTTTAAGTTAACAAGATTTTTGGTCGACTTAAACAGAATTCGGGTTACTTCAATCGGAATTTCTGGATCGTTCATATTCGGCCAGATATTTGGTTAATTCAACCAAAC